TAACTCTATGCCAGCCAAAACCAGCACACCTACAGAATGGGAATATGTTTGGGAGCTTCACTCTTTGCAAAGCCACAAACAGCAATGGATGTTTCTCAAAAATGTCAGAGAGGATTCATTCCTGTTACAGAATCCTAAAAATATATCATGACAAATTCTGACCATCTTGCCTTAAGAAGGACTCAGACTAATGATTTCAGGGCCAAAAGCAGACTCTTACAATCACGAAGTCTGATCTCTTGCAGAGTACAGGCCATAACTTAATCTAATAATTTTGCATTACATTTCCACTGGATTGTAGTGTATCTTTTTAGGAAAGGCTAAGCAGACTTGATTTAAAGATTTTATATGACACAGCATCCGTCTGATTTCTAAGTAAATTGTCATAGTCATTAATCATGCCCTCTGTTACAATATTGACTGTATTTTAGACTGAATGTTCTGAGTGTCAGCTTTCATTAGTTGAAATTCCAGTTATTGTTCTTCAATTTTATTGTTGCTATTTCAGGTTGGAGGGTTAGTACCTTCACTATTGATGCCTGACTAGAAAGCTCACAGTCATATAAAGAAATTTCAAGTATCACGTCTTGTCTGTGGAACTTAAAGTAACACCTTTCTTTGGATGATACTTCTGAACGGAAGTAATTTTTTTTCCACAAAGCAATATATATAAATTGCATTGACTCTATTTAATTACATTATGTTGTGTAGAAGACCTGCTTACAACGCAGACTTTCAGTCTGCCAAGTACTCGAGAGACAGAGATTGTCTCAAATCTTTCAATGACTTCAGGTTGGTCTCTGAAGAAGCAATGTTTATGCAAATATGCACCCGTTGTCTTTACCCTTCTTCCGGTCCACTCCATGATGCAGAAGAGTAGAAGTCCAACAGTTACTTTAACTCCATACATTTTGAGAAAATTTGTGCCTAATTAAAATAAAGAAATACGAGTCAGCATTCTCAAAGAACAGGACATGGAACCTACCCATTATCCCTAATCTTTGGTAGCCACCAGTGTGTAAGTCACCACATACAAAGTGTGAACTAGTCCCAGTATGTGCTTTCTCTTGCCTTGTGTGACTGTATGTGAGACTTAGGGTTACTGCAGAGATTTAGATGAGAAAGGACAAAATGTCATGATGAACAAGGCAAGCAGGCATCATTCAATCTGATGTTGATGGAACAAATTGCGCCCGTTGTTTTAAAATTGTGTGAGCAGAAGTGAAAAGTCAAAACACAAAACCGCTGTATTATTTGCCATTCTAATCTTATTTTTGTCTATAGCATATTTTATTTCTCCCTGTATCCAGGGTTAAGCCAGTGTAGAAAACTCTTTTATGATAGTTTGAGTCATTATTAGAAGAGTAGCGCTAAATACATAACCAAATCTTGTGGTAAAAATAATAGGTCATGTCATACCCTACCAGAAATACATCAAGAAAATTTAGAGTGGAAAAACCAAGAAAATTTAAATGTATTTGAATCATAACAATTCAGTGCTCAGGACAGAAGTAGGTAAAAACATGTGAACATGACCAAACATCTGTTTTTTAAGGATTTCAAATCTGCTTTACAAATAGCAAAATAACTGTGCCTGGAGTTGTAAATAATTGATTTCCTTCTTCCATTTAGGCTGCACTATAATGATTCTTTTTCTTCTTTCCCAAGTGGCTATCCCAGGAGCATCTAGACTATTTAATGCTTATAATTTAAAGATGACACTTGAGCCTTTTTTCTTCCTTACTCTGCTCTTAGCTCTATTTAACCAAAATTTTGCAGAGCAAGTGCCAGACTTCTAGTATTGTTCATTGTTCCTTCTTAGCATTTTGGAAATCATCTTTATGAGGAATATAATCAGTAGTTTTCTGAACTTAAATAGAAAGAAGTTATTCCATTTTCTATTCCGGTTTCAGGAAAGCAGTTTAAATGTACAGTGTGTGACTATACAGCTGCCCAAAAACCACAGCTCCTACGTCATATGGAACAACATGTCTCTTTTAAGGTAAGAAAACATATAAATCATGCTTATTGATAAGTCATTTAGAAATACATGGAACTTCACGCAACATTTTTATAACTGGCACATGTTTGGTGACAATTATGGCATCTTAACATTTTAATATTTTGGGAATTTTGACTTTATATTCAGACTTTTGAGATAGGGTTATTTGTTCGTGGACAATTTCTAATTAGTATCTTTTACTTGCCAAAAATGCATGTATGTTGCAATGTAAAACAAACATTATTGGTTTTTTTGACTGTCAGTCCTTGCGAGAACTAATCTAATATCTACCTTAAAATGTCCTGTGGAAGTAGGAAAGCGAATCCCATACATCACTTTTCATTGCGCACCTTAATTTTCTCTGAAAGTTTGCCAATCTCATGTACTATAGATGAGTTCATATACTTGAAGAAAATTGAAGAGAATTAATTTTAAAACACCCCATTTATCTGAAACGTGTCTTGGAAAGAGTTTTGTAATGTTTCTATGAAGTGTTTAGATTAGAGATACGGTTTATTTTAATAAACTGTAGTATGGTTTTATTCCTGAATTTCACATTGGTTCTCAGCGTGATAGGTCTTGATGTAATGAATTGTGAAATGTTATATTCAGGAAATAGAAATGATACTAGTTTTCCAGAAAAATCCAGTCTTTTATATGTATGAAAATGTTCGTTTTAATATAACACTTTGTCTTGGCAATAAGCATATTTCTGATTGAAAACTTCATGCTATTTTCATATGCAACATATTTCATTATCTAACAAATCGTTTTGCTTCTATAAAGAGTATACTTCAGCCATTCTTAATAAGTACCAATGCTATGTACCTCCATAAAGCAGAAAGGAAGACAGTCTTTTGATTCATGGTTTAAATTTTGGAAGACAAGACGTATAAGAAAATGAAGCAAGTCATCTGAAGAGATGATACATTTTGAACAAATAATTTTTCTTTCTTAAGTATGTAGTTTTGCTCTGGACTTATCTTTGTAAAAGGATTTTTTGTAAATGAAAATATATCATTTTCCTTTTTTAATGGCTAACGGGATGAATGTACTCATAATGCAGTTCTTGAAATATAGCTGGTTCTGACCTCGGGATCAGCTTTAGAACTGTTGACTCAGCACCTCTTTTCAGTTCTCTGTCAGCCTGCATATAAGTGCGGCTATTCAATGCATTATTAGGAGAACTGCAAAACACTGAAATAGGTCAATCAGGAGTATTTGTCAAAAGGAGTTCAAAAACTGTCTATTAGTAACACGTTGCCTCTTTCTGGGAGTTGTTTGCATGCTTATAAAACTGAGAGGAATGTCAGTGGTTATGCGACCTAACGGTAATTTAATCCATCATATTTCCAAGCTCCATGAATTTGCAGTCCTGCTATCTGACAGCAGATAACATACAAGGCATGCAAGTATGTAAAGAGTGGTACAAGAACACAGCAGTCTGCCTGGATTATTTTCTTGAAAAAAAGACAGTTTCAGCAATAGAAAAGGAGAGTACCCCTCTCTGAAAAATTGAATAGCTGAATGTTACAGTACCCTCTGAATTATAAAGTTAAGGGAATCTGAACACCACTTTTCCTTCTTATTTTTGGTGTTTGGAGCCTGAAGGAAGGTTATGAGTAACAAGCGTAGGGGAATGTTCTGGTCAATAGACCCTGACTGCAGACATTTCCCTGCTTTAAATTCAGCTTCTTAATAAACATTTCTGTACCAGCCATTTTCTGCTGACTAGCTTTAGGTGGGCCTGGTTGCTGTGCATGAAACATTTTGCATCCCATTCTGAGGTACTTGACTTTTCCCCAAGAACTTTGGTCAATGTCTGCATTCTTTTCCAGGACCTTAATGATTGTGTCAAGCTTCCTGTAACTGTGACATATCTCAGTCAGAAGGTTATTCTCAAAGGCTAACTTTAGGCACAAATGCTTGTTTTCCTAAACTTTTTTCTTTGGAAATGTCTCTCCCTGTCAGTTGAAGGGAGACATATGTTCTTAAAAATTAATTAATTTAGTTCCCAAAACTTAGCTCACCAAATGGTCAGATGAATGCAAGTGCCAGTGAAAGGGAAGCAGTTGGGAGCATGTTGGAGAGAAAAGGAAAGGAAAGGGAAGAGACCAACCCTGTCAGGTACGGTTATCTGTTAAATTAGGTTGGCTGTACAATCATATTGTACCTTCAGTTATTTTAGCTCTCTTACTCCCCCTTTTCAGACCAAAGCTCACGGCAGCTGATTCATTTCCTTGTAGTAGAAAGTCTCCACGTGGTCAGACCTGTGATCATCAATTATGAAAACACACAGTTTACTGAATTACGAAAAGTAGGTAATAATCTTATAATGTTGAGAATACTTGGTGTCTTGCACATAATAAAAAGTACCAAATTTTAGGTAACATTTAGTTACAACTTCCATTTATACTGAATTTTGGAACGTCTCCTTGGAAGATGCCTAAACCAGAAATGAACATGGTTTCTTGGGATCAAAACATTGCAGCTTAAACCTGTATCCTGAAGAGGTCAGGAAGTATGTTCTAACATTTTCCTTTTTGCCCCTAGCCTTTCCGTTGTGCACATTGCCACTACTCCTGCAACATATCTGGTTCCTTGAAGAGGCATTACAATAGAAAGCATCCTAATGAAGAGTATGTAAATGTAGGTTCTGGGGAGCCTGCCGCAGAAGCCCTTATCCAACAAGGTACATCTCCACCATATAAGACTTGTTATTTTTTGTGCTGAAGCAAACTTGGTGTAAAGGTAAACTTTTGTGCGATATGTGTTCCTCAGTTTATTAGGTGTTATGTGATAAATCATTACTACTTTTTAGTAATTCTGAAATGGCCAGCTTGTATTCTTCATTCAGTGTCCTTTGTTCTTGGTTTCTAAGGGTAGATGAACCAAAGTTTTGATTTACCTTGCCTGTGCTATTCGTTGTTGCATATATTTACCATTTTCACTTGTTTGTCTCCGTCTGTAAGTAAAGTGTCACTATGTGTTGAAGTGAATGATAAATATCTATCATTCTACTGATATATTTCTATGACAATTTTGCAAGGTTGAACTAAAGGTAAGGTTGACCAAATGTAAAGAAAGAGACTGAAGAGTAAATGGCAGAAAATTATTCCCTCACTAGAAAAATGAGGGGAAAAGGAGACTACAGGTAAATTCTTATGCTCAGAATCTTGTTTATGGGCAGAGGAAGCACACCTTATCTATGCAAGTAAAGCCAAAAATTTATTCTAAATATAATGGAAATCTTAACAGTCTAATTCCAGAATCACCATTAGTCTAGATCTAACTATTATTTTTAAAAAATTATGAAGTGTAGTTAGGGTTCTTATATACAGAAGAAGTCTCAATAGTATTATTACTACAGTTAAAATGGTAACACATACACCTCTTAGTTTCTACTCCTTTTCCTGTTGTTATGATCATGCTTCCACTGTTTCTCTGAGTCCTAAGAGGGGTGGTTTCCCTCTGGTGTTGGCTTTGGGATGGGGTTTTCAGTAAGTTGTCAGCATCTGGAGTTCTTCACTGGGAGGAGTATGATGTTCATCTTGATGTCCAGAGAAGGGCAATAAAGCTGGTGAAGGGTCTAGAGAACAAGTCTTATGAGGAGCGGCTGAGGGAACTGGGGCTGTTTAGCCTGGAGAAGAGGAGGCTGAGAGGAGACCTCATTGCGCTCTACAACTACCTGAAAGGAGGTTGTAGCGAGGTGGGTGTCGGTCTTTTTTCCCAAGTAACAAGTGATAGGACAAGAGGAAACGGCCTCAAGTTGCGTCAGAGGAGATTTAGATTGGATATTAGGAAAAATTTCTTTACTGAAAGGGTTGTCAAGAACTGAAAGAGGCTGCTCAGGGAAGTGGTTGAGTCACCGTCCCTGGAGGTGTTTAAAAGACGTGTAGATGTGGTGCTTAGGGACATGGTTTAGTGGTGGACTTGGCAGTGTTAGGTTAACGGTTGGACTCGATGATCTTAAGGGTCTTTTCCAATCTAAATGATTCTATGATTCTATGGTCTTCCTCTCCCCTTCCAGCTGGGGCCGTTGTTAACATGTTTGCTTACACACATTTACGCTTTTCTTTTTCATTGGTCTGTAGTAGCAGATTAAATCCAAATGTGCCGTTTATGGTGCTCTTCATGTATGTTAAATACTATTTTTGTTGTCCCTAAAACCAGTTTTATCCAGCTCTGGATTTGCATCTTTTTAACTGATCATTTCGGAGTTGTTATAGCTGTAGGTTCTTCAGTGCCAAGCTTGTGCCCCACTTCTTATCGCTCCATGGCTGCCCTCCTCTGTGCTGCATCCTGGGTCTCTACTTCTCAAGGCTGTCATACCAGGCCTGCACTTCTGTACATCACATTTCTGTGTTAAGAGTCCTAAATATCTCATTCTGCCTAGAACAGCTGCTTTGTTACTGCTGTCTGTGTAAAACTTATAGTCGTACCACACAAAGATAAAGACAAATAAAACTAATGAGATATAGACACCTGGTCAATTAGAGAAATTGCTGTCACAGATGAACTAAGTAAAGACAACAAGGATTTTGGGGAGGATTGAAAATTCAAGCTCAAGTATAAGAGCTAATGGAATGCCAGGGGGAAGAGAAAATCAGATTGTAGTCATTTTTACCACATTTATACAGTAGCAAAAAAAGTTATATTCCTGGCTGTTGTCGATTTTGTTTATGAATTTCATCCCAGCTGAAGTCCTATATCCTTCTGAAAACATGGTCAATGCCAATAGTTGCTTTATTTCTGTTTAATACAGGAATCACAAATTGTAACTCATTCCCTCCAGTGTCTGGGTGCTAGCAAAGGAGACGTGTACAGGTTGTCTGAGTCCCATAAGTAGTTTTGTTGTTGCATACTGGTCAAGTGACCCAAAACAAACAATTGACTACACAGTCAGATACCTCTTTGGGTGTAAAGCTCCTTCAGTTCTAGTGCCTGGTGTGGGGGGAAGAGGGGGAGGAGAAGCCAAATTAAATACTAAATTGTGTTGAAAATATTTTAATGCTTGGTAGAGTTGAGTTTCTTTTTTTGTTTCTGATAATTTTAGAAAGTGTTTTCCCTATTGTCGTGGTTTAACCCGGCAGGCAGCCAAACCCCACGCAGCCACTCACTCACTCCCCGCCTCCCTGGTGGGACGGGGAGAGAATTGGAAGGGTAAAAGTGAGAAAAATTTGTGGATTGAGATAAAGACAGTTTAATAGAACAGAAAAGGGAAAATAATAATAATAGAATAGAATATACAAAATGAGTAATGCACGATGCAATTGCTCACCACCCGCGCTGACCGACAACCAAGTAGCGATCGGTACTTCCTGGATCACGCCTATCATTCATATACTGAGCATGACGTCACATGGTATGGAATACCCCAT